TTCGAAATAAAGTCTAAAAATTGAAAAATAATATAATATACACTGCGTCCCATAATTATACGTCCACCTAAGAATTTCCCAAAATCTCAGAAATACAGATGTTACGAAAAAAGTCTCCTATGTGACAATGTATCGCATATAAATACGCAATTGCCTATGAACATCAATTTTCTATTTGAGATCACAGGAATTTTTCCCAATAATTTTTGTGTAAAAGGCCACTCAGCCGACGTCCCAAAATTATACGTCCACCTCACGTTTATCGATTACTTTTCACTTCTGTTCCACGAAACTTTTTCATTGTGGTAACACTTCACTTCTTAAGAGAACAGCATAATAAAGACTGCTGTTGGATTTTGAGAAAGGAAAATGTCGCAAACTCGCGAAGAAACAACAAACCGCACCAGTTTTGCCAGATTCACCAAAGCTGAGAATTTCAAGGGTTCACCCATGAACATGGACTTAAAGAAAACTCTAAAAGCCTCAATCACTTTTCGATGGAAACAAAGGCCGTGTCAAAGAAATAACATCCATTTTCATCCAACGGTGCTCTGTCATCGAATCTTCTTGAGAACTTTATGCCTCAACAGACTTTTGTTTCATGCATGTAAAGGAATCCCAAGATCGTTCTTGATCGGAAAATGTGAAAGACGTTCATTTGTGGCAAGGAATCGTGGCGAAAACTGGGCTGATTTTGCATGAAGGTGCAGCCCAGCCGACTGAAGTAAGGTTCGCTTCTGCCCGATATGTTTTGGCATTTGTTTGTTTCTTCTCACGTCTACCTTTCCCTTAATGGCTTTTTTCTAGAGGAGCACTACTAAAAGAAAGAAAATGTTGAAAAGAAAGACGGACAAACACTCATGCATAGCAAGGAAAAAAGGACCCTGCTCCAGTCGGCTCGGCTGCACCTTCATGCAAAAATCAGCCCAGTTTTCGTCACGATTCCTTGCCACAAATGAACGTCTTTCACATTTTCGATCAAGAACGTCTTGGGATTCCTTTAACATCACCATTAAACAATCTGCCTGAAAGTGCATAAAGTTCTCAAGTCAAGAAATTCTCGATGACAGAGCACCGTTGATGAAAGTGGATGTTTTCCTGTAACACGGCCTTTGTTTCCATCGAAAAGTAATGAGAGACTTTTAGAGCTCTTTTAAACTCCATATCATGTGAAACCTCTGAAAAATTCTCAAGCTTGGTGTGAATCTGGACTAAATCTGGTGCGATTGCGTTGATCAACAGTTTTCTGCGACATTTTTCCCTTCTCAAAATCCAACAGCAGTCTTTATTATGCTGTTCTCTTAAGAAGTGAAGTGTTACCACAATGAAAAAGTTTCGTGGAACAGAAGTGAAAAGTAATCGATAAACGTGAGGTGGACGTATAATTTTGGGACGTCGGCTGAGTGGCCTTTTACACAAAAATTATTGGGAAAAATTCCTGTGATCTCAAATAGAAAATTGATGTTCATAGGCAATTGCGTATTTATATGCGATACATTGTCACATAGGAGACTTTTTCGTAACATCTGTATTTCTGAGATTTTGGGAAATTCTTAGGTGGACGTATAATTATGGGACGCAGTGTTATACTATCATGTGCATTTTTCCATTGAGACGGCTGACTTCGAAATAGCTAAAATGCCGCTTCCAAAGTCAGAAAAGCAACATAGCAAAAGCAATACCATGACAATTCCCCTTCACCTCACGAGCCCCACCCACGCTCATCCTTCCACCAGTGAGCCGCAATTGTAGCAAGGATGGTCAGACTCCCATAATGTGAACAACCCATCGTTTCCACTAACCCAAGACTTCTAGAAGATCCTGACAATGTAGACCCGGCCCCACTCTAATACACGCCACCCTTTCAAACGTAATCAGCAACCAATATCTGCTCTTATCTGCTCAGATCTGCTATAGGACAATCAATCTTACTTTTGGTCTCTACGAACCTAAATAGATTCCGATGTGACAAAGCCTAACTCACCACGTCAACAAAGTCCTGACTTCTTTGCAAATGCCCGGCAACCGCTTTGCACCAATTCCCTCATGTAATGCTGGTTTGAGTACATTCTCCTTGGCCGCCCCATGGCGCCCAGCATTGTTCTCATTGAAGTCAGTCTCCCTGTAAAGTTAATCTGTTAATTGACCATCAGCTAAATCGAACGCTCTAAAATGAAGACGCAATCAATGCTTGATCAGTATCCTATAGCTGTGCCTCACAAAAAGTTAATCGAAAGATCAATTGTTTATTTAATAGAATTACCAAACTCAACAGTAAGGTCTGTATTCAACGAGTCTCATGCACGCATCTTACTGGAAAGCAACCACTTATGGAGGATTCAAGACTGAGGTAAAGAGCAAGAAGCGCAATAACCCACCACTTGAAACCAAAAGACCGGGTCCCCGCCTGTGCGGTGCCGAGACACTATTCGCGATCTCACTGCGGGATTTGCTAACCCCGACATTGCGGTAAGCCTTCCCATCCGCCGAACGGACGCCACCGGCTGTTTAATCACCCGCCCCGCAGTTCCCATAAGAGCGTGTAGCCGGCCTTGAAGACGACGCTAACACATCCCCCATACCGAAGCGCATCAATGCGAAATCAACGGCACCAGAAGGTTTCATTCTCATGCTTGATTTCCCGTGGTTTTTCTCATCGCACGCCGCTTACCAACTCTCCCCTTATCGATGGACTACTTTCTAGATCGTAAATCCTGGAAATCAATATGTAGGAATCACTAAATAAAATGCAGACTGGGACACAAACACGTAATTTATCACCAAATACAAGAAAGAGAAGAGGTTGCATGGATGGGCAAGCAACGCAGATAATCGTCTTATTCTCCCAATCACAAAAAATTCAAAGTAATCTTTTCAGTTCCTAAGGGCATTCTTACGTTTGCGATCCCACTCACCATGCCTCATTTTTTGATAGCTCGTTGGCAACTTCCAAATAGGTAATATTAATGTATGATGGGGAGCACACCATCGAGAAACAGTGAAATGAAGAACAGAAGAATAACTCGCTCCGGTTACCCCTTCTCTGCATGTCCTTTCTTAATATACGCCTCATAGACTTGATTCTGGCTGAACAGAACTGATCAGCTATCTGCCCAGATCCAAAGCTCAACTCCCCCTGACCCATGCAAGTTACGGCGTCAAGAGCAGCAGAGGCAGCACGAAACGTATTCCGTGGGCCTAGTAAAGCTCCGTCGCCCTTTTTCGCCGCACTGAACACGAGCATTAACCAACTGCCCGCCAGTCTACCATGATAGGTGACGGACGCGGTGAGTTTGCCCAATCCTGTAGTATGCTTTGAATGATGAAGACAAATTCCTCAACGATTTCAAATGGAGGACGGGTACACGGCGCTCTTCCTGAAGGCACGGGAGGGGACTAGACTAACAGAGGAACCTTCAGATCAGCACAGTGGCTGAATCTGCAGCAACAGAGTTGGTGATGCCCTCGTGATTCGGAACCGCGTGTCATAAGCGTGAGAACCCCAGCCTAGCATTCAGATCTAGTGGTGGCCTGTCGTAGGTTATTGTCGCTAACCGCAGCAAGTGGTCCGTGACTGCACTGTGGTATGAAATCAGCTGGGTAGGACCCGTTTATTGCTGTATCTGCTGGCACAGAGCCAGTAAGGCCGGCGTGTCCGACTCGTTCGGACATCTTTCCTTCCAAGCCATCTGCGTTGGGCAGGGAGACTCATTGTCAGCCTTCTCGATGGCACCTTCCCGTTTTTCTTCATAGGCTTTCTTTCGCATTCTCCACACACTTTAAGTGTAGAAAGATCCCAACCTAGATACCGGCCCAGGAGAAAGGTAAGCACCAATCATTCTGCCCCTCCCGTCTTACAAATCGGAGTAAGGCGCAAAAGATTTACTTACCTGTGGAGCAATAACAACTGGACCCATCGTTGGGATAGGAGGTGGCGGTGTGATGACCACCTGCGTCTAAATACGAGCCATATTTATATTTATATTTTCATCGTCAAAAATAAAAAAAATGAAGAGCTGTTTGAAAAACAGTGTAAAGGCCTACCGAAGCGACACACACTCCTCCCACACAAGCGCCATTGTAGCATGGATTCTCTCCCATACTGACACTACCACATTGGCCCCCGACCTTTATCTTGGATGCACAACGTGGCTGACCGCGCGAGAAGTCGCAAAATAGGAATTTAGATCCACATCTGGGCAACGCTTGCGTACAGAACGGTCGTGCAGCGTACTCGTACAGATTGTCCGTGTACTTATTTGACAATCCATCAATATTCCTGAAAAATAAAGTTAGAAGGGTTTTCTAGTTCACTAAACACTCGTTTTAGCTCCCCTATGTAAGCATTTACTTTGATGGCCATGTCACATTTACGGGTAGATGAAACTTGCCATGCTTGCATAGATAGACCGTTTCGACGAAGTCAGCGAAAAGGGATGGGCCACGCAATGGCTACTACTCACTGTCTAGTACAACTGCGGATCCGAACTCGTCCGGGTCAACCAGTTCTCCCACTCCTACAAACAACACCAACCACCGCGCTAGCGAAAACCAGGTGCATCTGTAATGCACACCAAACAACCCAAGTGGCGACTGACTGCACAAAATTTGCTGCCGCTAAACGAATTGATTGGCTGATAACATTTGCATCTGATAAATCCCACTAACTATAACTATTAATTTTCAACTATCATCATCTGTAACTCTGAACTATCAGTTGTCAGATTTTTTAGATGTCTGCGTCACATGTGTTGTTTGATCTGCCTTTACAGAGGCATCGGGCTGCCGGATTCTATAGGCATGTATTATTACATAACCTCCCCTTCAAAAAGCGAGAAAGTGTCGGGTGCAGACCAAACACCACAACTGACGACGGCCTCCAAGTAAATCTGGTTAGAAGTTGTTCATAGTGATAGCTGATTTCTGGTAAATGATAGTTGTAATTAGTGACAATCGATAGAATACAACTGCAACAGGCTAATCATTTCATTGGCAGAAAATTAACATTTTGTGAAGGCCGTCGTTTACTTGTGGTGCATGTCTGCACCCGACACTTTCTCGCTTTTTGAAGGGGAGGGTACATGCCCAACAGGTAAAAATGAGTCAAATAATCCAGCGAAATCCGGGAGCTATGTGTATTTGCTAAAAGTTTTCTCCATTAATATGCCTCTTTGCAAACTAATCGATTTCTTCGACAATAAGTTCAAGGCCATTGAAATTTGCGCGCAATCACATTTTCCTCTGTCACTCAAGTTCATTTTACCACACAAAAGACCCTAACGGGGCGGAGATGATTTCAGTTTGGCGGTGCTTTCACGACGGTATTTTCTTCACCAAATACATTCTAATGGCTCTCAGATTTATTGCCGGGATAAATGCGTGGCGCATCTTCAAGACTTCTCGCTGCTGACAAGTCGTTTGAATTTCATTTAATTGCGGAAAAACCGTACAATCCTTTTTCTGCCGTGAGACGAATTAATCGTAGAATGTAGGTTGAGAAAGACTTCTATGACATTATTCTTTACCTCATCGGAGCGAAGGGATTCATATTGGCGGCGGCGAAATGTTGTGGACTCGCACAGAACTGATTATCAGGCGGATAAAGTGTCTCACGATCGGCGCGAGTCTGAAAATGAAGCATCTCAAATGAAAAGGAGTGAGGCGTCTTAGGCTTTCGGCTTGCTTTCTTTGTTCTTTTTTTTTAATAATGGGTTTGAGTTTTATCTATACATGTATTCCTAGTGAATGTTGTATTTGAAAAGTCGAAAATTAGTTCTGAAAAGTAGAGCTCCATAAGTTGGAGATAGCTCAAAGTTGAAGAAGGGGAAAATTAAAATAAGAAGGAAGACGACGGACCTACTCAACCGTGCTGACGACCATGCAGTTCGCAAGCGATGAGGACAAAGCCCTGGCGATTTCTAGGCATGGCTTTCAACTGTAAAGAGGTGAATTGGAAGCGCTTATTGGCACAGGTAGTGTCTACTCATATGCGCAAATGAACTCTAGCGTGATGAGCGAGAGAGGGCATTAACATTGAGTGAGGGTGCAAAACAATGAGAGTTGTGTCAATGGCGATACATCAACGGTAAGGTAAGAGTCTATTTTCGCATTGTGGCGAGCCATTTCTCAGGTTTTCCCTTCATCCCGTACTAGACTACCATACTCTTGTTTCTAATGAGCGGCCTTTTCATCGTGAAATCCGCCTTTAAAGGCAGACAGTATAATATGCATGGTATAATATAGCATTGAATGCAAAAATCGCTCCCCGATCGAGCCGAACGGGCCGAAGTCGTAGCGAGTGCGCTGTCCATGCGGGGTGAGAATATCGAGAGGGAAGGCTTTAAACCGAAGGAAATGGGAACGGCTGTCCTCGGATGTTACTGAATCCGTACGAGGCAGGCACCAAACGAGTCCGTTCGAAACAAGGATTTTTATCAATAGCCGACATCATAGCCAAAAGGACTTCTTTTGTAGAGCGCACTGGTAGGTGCGGACATGAGACGAATAACGGACCCGTCTTGTTTGGACCGAATGCTTTGTTGCAATGAGTAGCAAAATATGATTACAACAGTACCAGCATTCGAGCGATCATAGCGCGAGCCTCGCTGCGGCAGGCCGCAAAATGTCTAGGGTTCCACTAGCACTTTTTCTGCAATGGAGCGTTCTTTGCGCGAATATGGAGGCTCTTCCCCGTCTCCTTGTGGAGGACTCCGCGTGCCTTTGTGTGTAGAAGGCATCTTATTTTTTTTTTCGGATCGTCGTCTTCGCACCTAACTCGGCCTGTAATGAATACGGTGGTTCGATTAGCTTACGGTAGTGACCATTTTAGGGAGATAATTCTTCGTAAATGCAAGAGCCCATTGGCCCTTGTGTAAAAATACTCAATTAGATTATCAACCTTTACTGTCGATGGCAATTACTGGCCAACTTCTGGCCAGAACGATGTGCCTTCAGTGGAGGAGTCATCAGAGCTCTGACTCCGAACCCGACTCAAGTCCAGAATCAGGTGCAACAAGCGAAGGGCTTTACCTGTCTCTGCTGTCTCCATTGCTCCCAAATGTAATCAACGAAAGCAGTGATGAAGGAAGAAAATGGGATCATTGGCGAATGTGCCTGTTGTAATACATTTATCATCCACCAGACAATAAGATTATGCCATTCGTGGTGGTGATTTCAAATACGTCTGTAATCAGTACGATTAAAGGGGCAGCCTGAAGAGTATTTTCGATTTAATTGTTATCTGGCTGTTCTAGTATTTTAAGAACTTTTGGAAAGCCATCACTCCGTTAGCATTAAACCTTATCATTTGAACGGTCTGCAAATGCGGAAAAAATTTGTTATTCTTAAATAAAATTATATCAACTACACGGGCACAGTTATTGGATTTCAGAAGGACTCGTCTGGTAGAATTTCGGCAACATCTTCTATTTCAACACACGTTTAGCGATTTATTGCCTCTCGTAGTTTTGCTTCACAACTCAGATAAACTTGCAGGAGAAACCTCCAGGTTACGGGCCGCAGCAGTGTCGACAGCATATGCTGCCGGCACGCCCACTCAGTCTATGACTGGCTGGCTCGCGTCTGCACACAGTAGCCCGCGTGGTGGTGGCCAATCACGGACGAGTGGGCGTACACGTACACGTACGCCTCTTGTGTAAATATTTGGTTGAGGAAAAAGCCTTGATCGGATTTCACACTCACATTGAACACTCATTTTTTTGTGACAATAGAATCTCAATCTATTAGGTTGGAAAGAAAAACTTGCAACACTTTTTCCCCATTTGAATTTTATCTTTTTTTGCTTACAACTGTGGCGCATTTACATATCTATCAAAGGTGTCCATCGGGTACCCCCCAGGAGGCCCGTCGCGCGACGAAGTCAGAGACGCAGGCGCGACAGAGGACGAGTCGCACCGCATACTGTAGCGGTTAGGCGTCAAGTTCAATATAACGCATTACAGTACGTCCCACACCATTCACTCCACGGCGCCTAACCGCTACAGTATGCGGTGCGACTCGTCCTCTGCCGCGCGTGCGTCTCTGACTTCGTCGCGCGACAGGCCACCTGGGGGCACCCGGTGTCCATCACTTGTTTCCAGCGCCAGAACTTTTATCAATGTTCTTTTTCCTAGACGTGACGGCTGTATTATATTTTCCAAATATGAACTAACTGACTAATTAAAAATTATTTCAGTACTGAAGAAGGTGTTGTGCACTAAAATATCGCAACGTGCGGTAGGAAAGATTTTAGAATTCTGAATTTTTTTTGTGTTTTTGGCTTGCAAAACCTTTAGTGCCTCGAAGAGTTGTAACATTCACAACAGAATAAGGCTTCGGGACAGTACATTCCCGAGCGAGAGCTAAGGAAACGAACCTGTCGTGGAGCAGAGAACGCAAGCACTTGGTCGACTTCGTTTTGATTCATCACCCAGTCGATATCGCTTTGGGTGAATGGAGCGCCTTGAGCTCCGACTGCTCTCTTGACATTAGCTTGACCCTGAACGGAGCCGTTCATAATACAGAACACCATCATCATCAACAGCAGCAGCAACAACAACAAAGGCAACAACAAGAAACTTCAAAAAGCAACATACTTCAAGTGTCCTGAAGCCTGCGTAAGGTCCATTGTCAACGAATCCTTGCGCATTGGTCAACAATTGTTTTGATACTGCTACATGATTTGTCAGCTTTTGCAATTTCAGGTGACCTTCTGCTTTACGAGTGACAATGCGGCAGAACTAAAAATGTTGGTAACAAAAAAATATGGCTACGATGTGACTTCGGAATG